AATTCTCACACCTTTTAGTTTACAAAGTACTTTTCTCACAACAAAACAGGAATTATCACCCCCATTTAGGCCCAGAGGGGGGAAGCGATTTGTTTAGTCAACTCAGCTAGTTATGGGTCAGAATCAGGCCTGGAACCTAGGTCTTCCTCTGAGCCCAGCCTTTTCTTCAGTAAGCCTCACTCTTTTCCAGCAAAGACAACATTCTGTCCAAATAAAACAGTCACAGAGCTGGAACTCCCTCCTTCGCTCTCTCCTCTCCCACACAAAACTCCTAGCTTCACCTGTTTCTGCAGCCCCACTGGCCAGTTGTCAGTGTGTGTTATTATTGCCTGGCTCCACGTTGCCTTCCCACTAGAGAGAAACAAAGGGGCCAGGGGGCCTCTCAGAGCCGAGGAGGGCCAAAGGAGAGGCTGCCCCCAGGCAGCTCCTGTGGCAAGTGAGTTAGCCCACCGCTGTTGGGCTGCTCTAAATCAGCTATTTGGGGCATTGCTGGTGTCGGTGTGACTTACATAACTGCTCCTCTGCCTTTGTCGCGCTGCTGTGGGTTTGACAAAAGAAGCCAGGCTCGATCATGCTGAGCCCACAGCGCCAGGACATAAAGAACAGGGTTTTCTTTGGCTTCTTCTAACCACGTCTCCCTGCGGGTTTGGAGGTTTGTTCTAGGGTGGCATTGTGGATCTCGCAGGAGACCTATGCTCAACTCCCCGTCACCTCCTACCGGCTTTACGAATGGGAGTGAAGAGCCCAAGAATGCAGAGGAAGGCGTGGGATACAGGACAGGGGGTCTGAGGTGGCACTCAGAGTGCCCCTGAGAAGGCATTCAACCCTCGAGGGGCAGCACTAGGGATTTGAGGTCTTGTCCCCCAAGGTCAACCACAGTGCCAGACACATGGCAGGTGCTCCAGATGTAAGCAGAAGGATCAAAGAAGGATAGCACCTGTTCTTGTCTGACAGGACTCCAGAAACCTATGAACAGAGCCGTGAGAAGCAGCCTGGTGCAGAGGAAAGATGGCTGACCTGACATCAGGGAGGCTCGAGTTCAGATCCTGCCCCTCTGACATTTACTAGCTATGTGTCCACAGGTATATATTCCTTAACCTCTGGATCAGGGGTTCCTAACCTGGGGTCCATTTTCTTTCAGAAAATGTCTCGATAGCTGTCTTCCGACACAACTGGTTTCCTTTGTAATCTATATATTTTATGCATATAAAAACATCTTGAGACAAGATTCCCCAGAATTTGAAAGGTGTCTGTGACACAAAAAAGTTCAAGAACGCTGCTCTAGATGGGGAGGAAGAATCGGAGCGCTCAATGGGACCTCAGTGGCCTTTAACTGAACTCCTACCCACAAGGGAATCCCTGCTATTAACATCCCTGACAAGGGGCTTCTCTTCTTGAAAAGAGCCTCCCCTCCCCCCTCTTCCCCTGCCTCCATGACAGCCCATCCCACTCCTGGATAGCCCTAATGGCTTGGAAGTTTATCCCGACCGCATGCTTCAGTTTACCTTTTTGGCAACTTCCACCTGATTGCTCCTAATTCTGCTCTTGGGAGCCAAACAGAACAAGTCAGATCTGAACTCCACGTGACAGCTCCTTGATAACAATTTACAGCTGTCATGCCCCTCTTTTCTAGGTTAATAACCCCACGATCTTTCAAATATGGTCAACAGTGGTTCAACACACCCATTTGCCAGTAAGACCTGAACATGCGGCTCATCTGGGCCAGGTGACCTGAAATCATCCGGGGGTCCAGCTCTCTTACCATCTCTTTGCTTCTCTTGGGCATCAACTCCCTACTGCAGCAAGGTCCCTGTTAGTATAAATACCGAACCCCCTAACTCGGCTGAACAGCCTGCCTATCCCCCCTGGGGCTGGAACAGACGACCAGATCTCACATCCCTCTGGATAAAGCAAACTGGAATACAGGTAATTACTGGCAGGGGGGTCGTTTTTTGCAGTGAGATGGGCCTCACTACACTCTTTAGCACAAACGTCACCGTCCTTGGCAGAGAAAACAAGCCAGTTAAGCTTGTCCTTCTCTATGGCTGGCCATTGGAACATCCCCCACCCCACCTGGGGCCCCAGCCTTTCTTTCACCTTTTCTTCCTCCTCCCAGTAGAGTTAGATATATACAGATAGATAGATGAATGTGAATGAATGAATGAATGAATGAACGAACCCCTCCCAGCCTCTCTCACCAACCTCAGCTCATCTTCACCTTCGGCATTCCTGACACTACCCATCCAGGCCCTCATCAGCTCTGGCCTCCTAACTGGCCTCCCGGCCTCCAAGCTGTCCCGGCTGCAGTCTACCCTCCACACAGCCTCCAGAGGGACTTTCCTGAAAGGCTGATCTGACCGTGGGACTCTTCTGCTCAGCCATGCCAGCGGCTCCCTGCAGCCTCTAGAATCAAACAGGACCTCTTCTGTTCTGCCTCCCCCGGGCCTCCCCGCCCCACGCCCCGCCCCTCACCTCTGCCTCACGATTCTCTCTCTTCCTTACGGATTCTCTCTCTTCCTTGAAGAGGCAGCTCAGGCGTCTTCTGCAGGAAGCCTTCCCTAATCTCCCCAACCGTCAGCGCTCTCCCTCCCAAACCACCTTGAGCTTAATTCCATGTATATAAGGGTGCTATATATGCAAATATATGCATATCTACTCATGTTTATTAACTTTATGCTATATATATATATAGCGTAATAGATATATATATATCTATATATGTGATATATAGATATATATATATATATATATATATATATATTGACAGCTAGGTGGCTAAATAGATAGAGCGCTGGGCCTGGAGTCAGGAAGACTTATCTTGCTGAGTTCAAATCTAGCCTCAGACATCTGCTAGCTGTGTGACCCTGGGCAAGTCACTTCACTCTGTTGGCCTCAGTTTCCTCATCTGTAAAATGAGCTGAAGAAGGAAATGGCAAACCACTCCAGTATCTCTCCTAAGAAAACCTCAAATGGGGTCACAGAAAGTTGGATATGACCGAACAATAACTGAACAACAAAACTAAGGATCCGTGACTTAGAACACCACATAGTAACATCATCTGTGTTTAACTGTATTTTTACTTCTTTATTTCCCAATTTCACTTTAATCTGGTTCTGGGGGCACTCAGCTGTGGCCCCGTGTCTGACCCCTCTGGTCTAGAAGTCCATTCGTGGAACTTTGGGGTTCTGACTGAAGGACATGCCAGGTCTTTTCCAGATTTAAATCCATGCCTGGTACTCTGAGATTATCCCCAATTTATCGTGTATACACCTTGTTCGTACATAGTTGTCTGCATGTCGTGTCTCCCACTGGACTGTGAGCTTCCGGAAGCATGGACTGTTTTTGCCTTTTTCTGTATCTTTGGTGCTTAATTAGCAAAGCACCTGGTGCACAGTAAGGTGCTTAATAAATGCATAACTTGACTTGCTGCCTCTCCTACGGCTGAGGCCTCCCCTTCCGACCTGTGTGACCTTGGCTAAGTCCTTGTTACCCCTCCAGAGCCCACTTTGCTTAGCTGCAAAACTGAGGGGTTGGAGTAGATCCCTAAATGTGTGATCTTACAAACTCCCTTCTGAATAGAGGTAGGTGAGCAGAGACAGTGAGGAGAGTGGGGGAGCTGGAGGAAAGGGCCTTGGGTTCAAATCCCATCCCTGACCCATTTGACCTTCCTATCTCTGGGCCTCAAGATGAAGGGTATGGCCTAGATGACCTCCAAGGTGCCTTCACACTCTGAGCCAGAGGGTCACACGCCAGGTTCTGTTTTGGGCTCTAATCACCTCCAAGCATGTGGAAACTTTGGCCCATGCTATTCTGTGGCTGAAAGTGGGAACCACTGCTGTGTTCCTCAGTGAGCTGGTGTGGGCCCAGGGAATGGGATAAGCGTCTGGGGAGGGAAGAAGGGAGGGAGGGAGGAAAGGAAGGAAGGGAAAAGAGAGAGAGAAAGAAAGAAAGAAAAGAAGGAAGAGAGGGAGG